GTCATTTGGCCAAAAGCGACCAAAGCAAAATACTCCCCCCTTTGGACTCTGCCAACCTTCCACAAACTGGGGTATCTACTATCTACATCATCAGGATCAGGGCCAGATTAACCCATTAGTGGGCCCTGGGCTGGTTGAGACCCCCCCTCTCCCCACCCCGATGCTGCCACGCTGCAGGGGGGGGGGGGGTGGCTTGGAGCAGCAGCCTCAACAGTGGCGAGATCTGCACGTCGAGGAGGGAAAGACCAGGGCGTCCTGCAGCTCGGGGCCCTAGGCATGCGTCTAGTTTGCCTATGCGTGAACCCAGCCCAGACCAGGATACCAGATTCTTGCAGAGATCCCGCCTGATTTCTCTCAGCCAAGGGATAAACACCGAGATAGCAAAGCAGGAAGGCCTGCTGTAAAACGGAGAAGGAATTCCATGCACATGAACATGATTAGTCAGCAATAGCAGGAAGATGAGAGATACTGGCCAGCCAAACAGGACTGGTCTTAAAGGAGGCCCTGATACAAGTGGGACTCATAATTTTTCTGCTACTCAGGAGTGGGAACAGCCCTGGCTGCCACAAGCCAGGGCCTGCACACATTGCAATAGCAAGGGAAGCAGAGCTCCACTGATTCATTAGTGTTTGCTAATCCGTGATATCATTTGTTGATTCCACCAGGGCCAATCTCCATCTCATGACTTCCTGCACGGTTGCTATGGCACTGTACATAAAACACTGCAAACTCCAAGCCCCAAGCAGGTCATTTATTTCAAATATCCCCTGAAGCTGGAACGTGAACCTGTTTGGGTGTCTGGAAGAGAGCATGAACTAATTTCTCAGTCTTCTGCACCCACCCCACCTTCCCTCCCCACAACCCCAGCCCGCTGCTCTTCCCACCCCCTCCCAACAGCTTACGGCTCAGTAGGACCTGCGGTCCAGAAAACAGCCAAGGGGAAGACGGCTTTGCCTGTACATGGTCAGAAATTCATTTCTCAAGTCTGTGCTACCTGCAGCGCAGAGAGCTGCCATGATTGTGGTGTGCAGGCTTCCTTTTAAATCTAGGAAGCTGGTAACATAGCCGTGGCGTCTCCCCTTTCAGGCAAGAAAACCCCTTCTGGTTAGTTCGTGCCGGTCCCTTCTACAGCGCAGAGACAATTTACGACCGACTCGTTTGAGTTTATTTTAATATCCAGCCAGCCTGGAAAATAAGGTCCTTTGTTTTGTGCACCCAAATTGGTAGCTACAGTACTGGAACAATACCTTTTCAAGAAGCTTGCACGTGCTGCCCCCCCTTGCGTACACCGCACAGTTCAAATGGGACCATCAACAGCAAGAAGATTATTCACACGTGGCGACCCAGTTTAATTTTGGGCTCCTGGAGAGGCAACAAGGAAGCCACTTGCAGCAACTGTGTACAGATATCTAACTGGGCTGAGACCTAGACACTTTTTACAGGGTAGATACCATAGTATTAGTTTTCAGCCACTACTTACATGACCTGGAGTCAGTGATCTTGAATGGAAAGTTCCCATATCCCCATTACAGATTCGAGCCAGCCCCCTACGTCAAGAGCTTGTGCTGCACTCATCACTGCCTCGCTCCCGTAGCTTTTGTCTTGCCGCCTAATGGACAGGCCTTTTAAGGAATTCAAGTGGGCATTGTGGCATGTCCATTAACTCTTGGATAGATCCATCAGCAACTGTTGTTGTGTTAGTTCCTTCTTCCCACTATTTCCTCTGTACCCCTAGGAGTGGAAGAGGGGGCTTAACAGATCTCATCCCCCCCCAAACATGGGGCAGTGGTAGGGCCACAAGGCAGCCTGGCTGAGGGCTTCTGGCACAGCAGGGTGGGGAAGGAGGGAGGGAGGCTAGGACTAAGGGAAGGGCAGGCGCTGCGCAGCCAGCAGGGTGTGGGACTGAGCCATGAGCAGCTGGTCCGGGGGGCACAGCTCCTGCTGCTACCTGTGGTGGTGGGGGGGGGATGTGCCCCCAGATCTGTGCAGGGGAGTGGGACCATGCCAGGCTGTTCCCAGACGGGGGCGGGCCCCGAGCTGGGAAGAGCCCAGCACAGCCTCAGCCCCAGCCCACAGTAGCCTCCTGCCCTGCCCCATGCAGATCCAGGGACATGCAGCCCCCACGTGCTCCCAGGACATGTGCAGCAGCAGGAGCAGCCATCTTCCCCCCGTACCCCCCAGAGAGCAACAATGAACCAGGGTGGACATTGGGGTCCCAGAGGCTCCACCCCCTCTGCACACCTGAGGCTGGTCCTGCACTGGCCCCTGGCTCCAGCCCCCCCCAGGCAATAGGGGGAGGCAGCAGATTCATTAGCACAGGGAGCACCAGAGCTGGGCAATGACCCCAGTCACAGGGGAAGGGATGGCCATATGGGTGCAGCAGGCCCCAGCCTTGACCCCAATCCTGGGTCTGGCTCAGCTCCACTCCCTCTTCCACAGCTCTTTCCTGCTGGCTCCCCCAACTTTCCAAGCTGGAGGGGGTGCACATGCACTCAGACCCTCCCACCACAACATTTTCTTCTTCCCTCTGCTTATGTCTGTACCTCTTGCCTTCTCTGCTTTCCAGTCTCCATTGTTCAGGTACTCAATTAAGTATCCCAGCTCCAGCCTATTGCCAATTGCTAGTTTCCCCAATGGGCCAGCATCTCTTTTTAGTCTTTCACACTGTTTTACATTAAAAGTCATGTTTTTACTAGTGAGGTTAGTCATCAGAACAATATGGGATGTAGTGGATTTTCAGGCACTTAGTCTTTTTAAAACAACAGTTCCTCTTTCCGAAAGATCAGCTCGGCGGAGCACAGAAGTTATGAGCTAGATACAGGAATAGTGGGTGAAATTCTCTGGCCTGTGTTATGCAAGAAGCCAGACAACACAATCACCACTGTCCTTTAAGGCCTTAAAAACAACCTTCCCAAAAACTATGAATAAACCTGGGCTTATTTGAAGAAGCCGAGTGCAGGGACAGTAACAAGTCAATCGAGGCTGAAGTGGAAAGCCCTCCCAGCCAAAACTGCCATCTCATCCGAGGAGATGCTAATTCCAACCACATCTGGAGTAGCCATTTCCATGCATGACTGGCAGATGTGGGTCCCACAGGGATTGAGGGAGTTGGCAAGGTTGCCTAAGCAGAAGTTTAACTAAAGATCAGCAATGCTTCTATAAGAGATGGCTGCAGCTCTTGGTCATCATAGAAGTCATGATGTCCGCACCCTGCGGGCTTCACACTCACGCCTCTATCCATTCCCAGCTGTCAAAAGACAGAGACAGACTTTGGGCAAGTAACTCAGCACCTTGCACTCCCCTCCCCACCAAAAGGTCTATAAAAAAAGTGGGGATGTCTCCCCCGACTCAGCTCCTTTACCTCATCTGTTCAGCCCAGACTCGGAGGCATGTATTGCTACCAGTGCAAAAGGGCCGTGGATAGCGGGCCATTGGTAGAGGGCAGGTAGACATTATTCCAAGTGCAAATAAAAAAAACACAACGGCTGGATATTTAATAAAGTTTAATTTTTTATTAGGCTACTCAATATTATCTACAGCCATAAAATAGAAAGTAAATATTTTAAAAACTGTACAAAAGCAATGCACCAGGGACTGTGAGAGGAAACAGACAAAAGGGCATGAAGAGAACTAAGAGAATGGGACAGGACATGGCCACTTCCCAGAGGTGATGGAAGATGCTGGTAGAGTTGAAGGCAATACAGTTTGGCTCTGTATGTACTGAATTCTCTTGTGCAACTTTGTGTCCCACCCTGTAACAGAAGCTAGTACAGACCCCTACATTTAAAAATCAAAAAGGTTAAGATTAAAAGAGAAAAAAAAAAGGGGGGGGGACACTACGCCCCACCAAGTCTTGGCACCAATTCTGTGCTTTAAAAATATACTATACAAGTAATTTTTAAAAAAAAAAAAAAAAAGGTACCCTACAGCAGCTGTTTAAAACATGGTTCTTATACATACACCACAAATATATATTAAACATTTTCAACAATTAAACTCATTTGTACCTGTACAGAACTGAAGGGAAAAAAAAGAAAAGACTCCAAGCAAATTAACCCCAAACTTGTGTTTTCAAGACAATGAAGAAATGTGCAAAATAACCCCAGAAAAGGCAGCATAGTAGCCTGTTTTTTTTTGTTTTTTTTTTTTTGTTTGCTTGCTTGTTTTTGGGAGAGGCCAGGAGAGAGCAACTCCTGATAAGTTGGGGTGGGGTCCTCTCTCGGCTACAGAAAAAAGTATTTGGGATGTGCAAGATGTCACCTGAACCCATTTGCCCAGGTTTTTAAAAGCTCACAATCATTCCTCTGTCTGCAGGGGTAACTCATCATATCTGGACAGGATCCACTTCCCTCTGCTGTCTGCAAAGCATCATGTCGTGTTGCTGCAGAAATTGGCTTCATGCGAAACATCACCTCCTGGATTTCTGGCCAGCTGTCATCCCATCCATCAGCATCTACTCTGTTCACACCTTTTGTCCTTCCCCTTTTTTGGGAGGGATGGGGAAAAAAAAAAAAGCCCCCACCATCCTTCCTGCCACACAATGAGGTTATCTTGATGAAGTAAGGCAGGGTGAAGGCTCCAATTTGTAGTACTTGAAGCACGGTATAAAAACAGAGGGCTCCCCAACAGATCCATTTCTCCGTTTCAAGAGCTCTTTAGGCTTCAGCACATGTTATTATTAAGGCCCTAACATGGAAGGGAATATATGAAGAACCCGGAAAAGGAGAGGATTGTAGTTGTATAAGGGATCTGTGATCAACACAAGCCAGGCTGGCCTGGCTTGCCAAGGGTCATATTGCACGCAAAAGGGTTTCGATGGGGGGGGGGGGGGGGGGG